ATCGAGGAATAATGGAGAATAGCTTAACGGGACGACGAGACCTACTAGGAGGCTACTAAGTCTATACGAAGAGGAGCCCGTACGTTCCCCTCCGGCCTAGGCCTAAAGGTATCGATCTTAGAATGCTCCCTTAATAAGGAAGGGCAGCTACTATTCCGAGGTCGGCGCTGGGTGCCTGAATTAGAGGCTCTCCGTACGGCGATCATCTAATAGGTTCACGACTTAAGAATTATAGGCTATCCTAGCCGGGAAGGTACGGTAGTAATGATGGTAAGACAGTTCTTCTAGCTAAATATACTATAAGACATTCGAAGGTTCGTACGGAACTACGATGTATACGGACGAATGAAGGCCTGGAAGGAACGAAAGCAGGGATTCCTTAAGCCTCTCCCGATCCCCGAGCGACTATAGAGAGAAGTATTAGTCGATTTCATCACAGAACTCCCCGAGAGCTAGGGCTGTACGAACCTCATAGTCATTACAGACCGACTAGGGAAAGGAGTCTTACTAGAACCATTACGTACGATCGACTCAAGGGACGTGGCGAGGATCTTCCTACGGACATTCTATCGTCAACACGGACTACCATCAGCTATTATCTTAGATCGTAGCCCTCAGTTCGTGAGTGCACTATGGAAGAGGGTCTGTTAACTCCTGAATATCGTACGACGACTATCGACGGCCTACTACCCGGAGATAGACGGCTCTACTAAACGAATGAATTAAACGGTTAAAACGTACCTTCGTACGTTTGTAAATGGAAAACAGGACGATTAGGCGGAACTCCTACCTATGGCAGAACTAGCCATTAATAATCGCGACGTACACTCGATAGGAGTAAGCCCCTTCTTCCTCCTATACGGATACCACGTCGAACCGCTTTAGCTATAGGAGCCCCTCCGTACGACGGAGACTCCTCGAGGGCCTATATAATACGCAGACCTTATCGTATAACGACTCCGAGAAGCGAGGAACTGGGCGTAATCTTTAATGGCTATCGCGCAATAAGAATAGGAAGAGAGAACGAACCGATCACGATAGTAAGCGCCGTAGTTCCGAGTCGGCGATAAGGTATGGCTAAACTTAAGGAACGTACGGACGACGCGTACGAGTAAGAAACTAGACTAGAAAAACGCGAAGTATACCGTTACGGAGGTAATAGGTTCTCACAGCTACCGTCTAAATACCCCATCGGGTATTCATAATGTCTTCCACTTAGACCTCCTCCGTACGGCATTAACAGACCCTCTTAACTCGTAAAGAGCGGACGATAGTCAGCCTGCGCCCGTAATAGTTAGAAACGACGAAGAATACGAAGTAGAAGCGATCCTGAAGGATAGGGTCGTACGAAGAGGGAGAGGTTCTCGGCAGCAATACCTAGTGAAATGGACTAGGTACGCCGAGCTAATATAGGAACCAGCCGATGCACTATAAGACTCCGCTACGTTAGATGCATACGAGGCCCTCCAGGCTAGTGCCGAAGGAGAAGGGGGGGGTGTTATGATGGGTTAAACCCAGAAGGAGGCTCGGTTCTGACGAACCAGCGCCAAGACTAACGCCACCTCCTGATTAGACGAGGTATAAGGGATACCGAATCCTGGCAAACTGAGACACCGTACGTAAGGGAAGGTAAGGAAGAGAGATAAAAGGTAAAGGAAACGTAAGGCGTGTACGAAAGAGGAAGGATAAGGGAGAAAGGGGAAGACATTGAGTATCCCTTGCGGAGGAGCGTACGATATAAGGAAAGAAGGAGAGGACATTATTCCTCCTTCTCTCTCCTCAGATTTATCCTCCTTATTACTAGGTTAGCTAGCTAGTTACAGAACTCTTTCTAAACCCTTATAAATGTAACTATAAAAGGGTAATAAGCGTAGCTATATACTTATAAGGTGTATCCCGAATAGGTAACTGGGAATAGTATGTTAATATGTTAATATAGTCTATACTAATATATCGCTATATCGTAAGTTTCCTTTTTTAGTAGTTACGTACAGTACGTGACCTAGCCTTATCTTCGTTAGGCTGCCTCGACCCGGTAGACCTACCCCGGGGCGCCCCGCGCTCCAGGTCGTATGAAGGCCGCTTCTAACAGGTTTCTTTTATATTATAACTATCGCTACTCACTACCTACACAAGGATAACTCCTCTCTCTGTCTTAGATAGTTAAGTTTCATCAAGTCTTCTATAGTCGAGTAGTCATACCTATCGGTTCGATCCTATAATGAGCCTATCTATTACCTATTTAGGTAATCCCCCGAGTCCTCCGAACATATATAATTGGCGACGACGAGGTTAGATTGCGATATTTTAATAGCTAACTAAGTTAAAGGTTTTTTGTGCGAATAGATAGCGGAGTAAAATGACCGCTAGCTAATTATAGTGGTGGAAGATTCTGCCGAGTATTTAAGCGAAAACGCTGTTGTACGAAAGCGCTGTCGAAAACGCTGCCTGGAGGCATTCCCATTTCCTTGCGCGGCCCACCGTCCTCGGTTCGGCGGTTCCAACGACCCGCGCGCGCTGGCACAGGATGAATGTTTCAGGACCGAGGTATGATGCTCTCGGACCGCCCATGACCTGATGATTCGTTCGACGCTTGGAAGCGGATTTGATCTACCCTTTCCCCTTTCTGATTGCCTCGATCGTCTTTACGGAGCCTGCGCTCCACCTCCAGCAGACAGCCCGCAAAAGCTTACGAGAGGGGAGGTCTAAGGGAGGTGTTGGTGTTGACAGGGTTTCGTGATCACACGGAGGGGATATAAATGAAATGCTTCTTATTTCAGCTGAGCCTTTGACTCGTTCATCTCTTCGGTCAAGGTGCATCTATACATACCCGCGGTCCATCAGTTTCAGACTGTCAAATTGACATTGGCAAGTTTCAGCCAACATCGCACTGGGAAGAGAAAAATTGTCTGCTGTGTCATGGCCGACTTCAAATTCATCCTTCGCTCGGTCGAAGATGGTGTGGGAATCCTTCAGCTACATGACCCCAAGAAGAGGAATGCACTGGGCTGGGAACTACACCGCGAGATCATCCAAGCCCTCGAACTCTGGGCCTACGACGACACCGTCGCCGCAGTCCTTCTGGTGGGCAACGAGGACTATTTTTGCGCCGGGTGGGCACTCGACGTGCTGCAGGGTACCGACGCGGATGGCAACGAACGCACCAAGTTTGTCGACCTTGCCTACCAGCTGATGATCGCGCTCTACGACTACCGCAAGCCGACGATCGCGGCCGTGGCCGGCACCGCCCCGGGGTATGGCATGGACCTGGCCAACATGTGCGACATCACAGTGGCCAGCCGCAACGCGCTGTTTGGCAGCACGCAGGTCAAATATGCCATGAACGGCTTCTACCACGGCATGGTGCGCAAGGTCGGGGCCCAGCGCGCACGGAAGATGTTGTTCACTGGTGACCCCATCACCGCCGAGGAGGCGTTCCGCGTGGGCATGGTGGACGAGCTAGTCGCGGTCGGCCAGGTTCGCGAGCGCGCACTCCAGCTCGCCAAAAATATTGCCGAGGCCGGCGCCGAGTTGACTACGGTGCTTAAGGAGGTCGCACTCCGGGCGAACAACATGGACCATGTCAGTGCTACGGCGTACGAGTTGAGAGTCACCGCCGACTTGGTGCAACGAGGATTATTTACCAGAATGATTGAGAGCGGCTTACAGCGGATGAAGGCGAAAAGAAGCAGAGCAACTGAGCGACTCTAGAATTAGCGCTGCCGCGGAGGATTCTCTCGGAAATGCCCAATAAGTTTTGTTTGGGTCAGGGTAGGTAGTCATGGTAGACCATCGAAGGTGTCTTTCCGCGCAGCGCATTAGTCTATCCTCGGGACTGCCGTTTGTCTTAGTTTGCTCCGGCGCGGTGAACAGACCGTGGTTGGTCAACATCGGTTGGGACTATTCTCGCTTCCGCCGTGGGCCAGTGGTTTTGCATGTATCGGGCCACTAGGATAAAACTGCACCCTCTGCCGAGTAGTGGGGATGGACGAAGCCATGTTGCGAAGGCCTTGCCACTATAAAACGAGGCGATTGGGACTGCGTGCGCAATAATGTAAGATCCCGATAGGAGCCATTGGACGTGCCGCTTTGTCGACCGGCTTTCCATCGCACACCTGAATCTCTTGATATTTACATTACTACTAATTCTAACTGGCTCTCTCCATTGCGCCCCGAAATGGAGACTCAAATACCTGCGGTTATCTGTTATCCTCCCGCCGCCGGGCCTGACTGGAGGGCGGAGAAGGTGACGCTGTCGAGAAAAGTGAAGGAGCGTGAACTCAAGATCCGTATGGTGGCCACCGGCATCTGCCACACTGACATCTTTGTGTCGAGCATTCCGCAGGGTGTTTTCGGGGTCCAATACCCCAAAGTCGTGGGTCATGAGGGCGCGGGCATCGTCGAGGAAGTCGGACCGGGGGTGACGGTGGCCAGCGTGGGCGATCCCGTGCTACTCTCCTACAACTACTGTGGGCATTGTGATCTGTGCCGCCACGGCCAGGAGGTCTACTGTCTAGAATTTGCCCCGCTGAACCTGATCGGCCGGGACGATGTGCTCAAGACCGCCGATGGCCAGGCTGTGTTCGCACAATTCTTCGGCCAGTCCAGCTTCGCCATGTGCAATATCGTCTCCGAGGCTAGCGTCGTCAACGTGCGGGACTATGTCCAGCCGGGTGACGACGCTCTCAAGCTGCTCGCCCCGCTCGGTTGCGGTCTGATGACCGGGGCCGGCGCCGTCCTGAATGCCGCTCGTGCCCGACCCCACGACATCATCCTCGTCACTGGCATCGGCGCCGTTGGACTGGCCGCGATCATGACGGCAAAGATAATTGGGTGCAAAGAGATCATTGCCGTCGATCGGGTACCATCGCGACTCGAGATTGCAAAGGATCTCGGCGCCACCAAGGTCCTGGACACTAGGGCGCTCGACACCGCGGCCACGGCGACATTGGCCCAGGAGCTCATGAAGCTCGTCGAAAATCAGCGCATCTCAGTCGCCATCGAGACCACAGGTGCCGCGCCGGTGATCGAGGGCGCCATCGGGGCCCTGGGCAAGCGTGGCCGTCTCTTACAGGTTGGCGTACCAGCTCCGGGAGTCAACATCACATTGCCCATCAGCGACATGGTCATGTTCAACAAGGTTTTGGAATGCCATTTCCTGGGCGACAGCACCGCCCAGGTGCTGCTCCCCCGACTATTGGCCTGGTGGCGAGAGGGTCGGTTTCCGCTTGAGAAAATTGTCAAGCGATTCCCGCCGGAAAATGCCGTCCAGGCCATGCAGGAAATGAAGAGTGGAAGTACGATCAAGCCGATTCTAGTGTGGTAGTAATTGCAAAAAGACACACAGTTGCATTTAACACTCCTATATTCGAGTCTTTCCATCATCCAATTTTTTTTTCTTCTTCTCGTTAAAAGTCTGTCCACATTGAGATGAGACGGTATATGCCATCGTAGGAAAACTGCCTTCGCTCAGTCCGTGTACCGCGTACCGTCTTGAAGGATCTGATGAGGCATTAGAAGTGCCGGCGTTCACGCGGTCACAATTTCCCCAGCCGCTCTACCGCCTTGCTACGCTTCTCTTTGATCCTTCGCACGCCGTCCTCAGCTAACTTTTTGAACGAGTCCCGGCCCAACAGGTCGTTTGTGAAGCGCGTCTCGTAGTAGGTGGCCCCGATGTGGTCCATGTTTGGCACCCTTAAGCACATTTCCTTCAAGTTGACCGCCAGTTCCGAGCCTCGCTCCGCAATCTGCTTGGCAAGGGTCATCGAGGTGCTGAACAGCTGGCCGACTTCAGTCAACTCGTCCACGAGGCCGACTCGGAGTGCCTGCATGCGTGGTGGGACTTGTCAGTATGGACCCTTATATACATTGCCATCAAGAGGTATATCGAGGGGACATTCATGGTGCGGCTCACCTCTTCGGGTCCCATAGGATCACCAGTAAAGATCAACCTCTTGGCCCGCTGGATGTTCATCTTTCGGAACATGGGGTGGGTCATTGGGTTCAGACCGTACTTGACTTGACTGTTACCAAAGGCGGCATTTTTGGAGGCAATAGTGATGTCACAGAAGTTTGCTATGTCCAAGGCATACCCTGGACACATACCGGCCACGGCGCACACAGTCGGCTTGGGATAGTCGTACACGGTGATCATCAACTTCAGAGCAATATCGGAGAAGGCTTGTCTCTCGGCGCCACTGGTCGTTGCGAGAATATCGATCGCCCACCCCGAACTGAAGTACTTCTCATTTCCATAGAACAAGACGCAAGCCACCTGTTTGTCGTCCTTGTACTCGTCTAGCACCTTCAACATGTCGTGGTGGACCTGCCAGCCCAGCGTGTTGCGTTTTTCAGAGTAATTGATTTGAACTACACCCACGCCATCTTCAACCCAGGTGTTGACTGTCTGTAGCTTGGTGATCTGTGCCATGTCCACGATGATGGTTTCTCTTCCGATATGTCCTTATGGGCCGAAGTGTCATAAGAGAACAACCTGTACGTGAGCGCAAGATGCTATATACTTTCGCATGAGGGAATTCATCTTGATTTCCTTACCTGACTAGCCAACCATATCGCCGCCACCGGCATTACCCAATGGGATACGAAGTTCGGGACTGCCTCGGGGGCTCGAATTCGCTTATTTATACTTAGTAGAATCTTCTACTACTATAATTATCTAACCCAAAATTCTCTAGGATATCCATTCGTATAAATCCTATAAATTAGTTAGTAGATTAAAACTAACCTCATCGTCGCCTATTTATATAGTTAACCTTCGTATTAAGAACGTCCTAGTGTATCTAATAGCTAACTAGTGAGCTAGGGCGAGGCTCTTAGCTATATCGACTCGTACGGTAGTAGTATAGTATTAGGGTATCAGGAATGCCTTATTAAAGATGAACAGTACTCAGCGATAGATCGATTCCGTAGTAATAAATATCCCTTTACGTATTGTAGTGACAAGACTTAAAGCAGAAGAAGAGGATGCTTCTCGGTTACGAGGAGCATCCTTTAGTGATTTTCGCGACTGAAAAAGGCTTGATAGAAGAGTATTCGTCGCGGGACCGAGGTTCCTCGATCTTCTGATTTATTTTTGGTCTGCGGAGAATCCGCAAAGTGTTTCTGATAAGTCATTTGCTGATAAGTCTGAATCCGTTTGTTCCAATATATGTATTTCGAAGACAGGAATTTGATGGGCATGGCAACATCACTTCCCATGATCTTGGGCTTTGCCAACAGTGGCGTCAAGCAAGGCTTCATCTGACTAAGGGTTGAGACCATGAGGTTGTGCATGAGTCGGACCTTGGACAGAAAGACGTGGTCTTTAATCCACGTATTCTTTGGCATAACAAAATCTTTTATACCCGGTTTCGGCTTGCCCTTTTTAAGTTATGTCGCCTTTCACAACTTCGGTTCTCGCTGACGTTTGCGACTGCCTCCTACGCCGGTGACCTCGGCGCCAGAGAGAAGAAATTCTGGATACTCGAAATTGCCGTATCCTGGAGAGCCAGCACCGGTGCGCCAGGCACCGCCGTCGACTACGAGGACTTCCCCGTTTACGTAGTTTCCCGCATCACTGAAAAGAAAGACCGTGGCGTCTGCAATCTCTTTGATGCTGCCCCAGCGTCCCAGGGGTATGGTTCGACCGGCTGTTTGGCCAGCGTAGTGCTCCTTCGAGAGGCGGTCCATGCCGTGCGTGCCAGCAATAGGACCGGGAGCGATGACATTCGACGTCACGCCCAACGGACCGTACTCGATGGCCACGTTTGCTGAGAGTGCATCGACCCCAGATTTGGCGACGGCCACATGCGCCTGTAAGGCTGCCCCGGTGTAGTGGATGGTGGCGGACACGTAGATGATCCGGCCTCCAGGCCCCCCCCAAAGGTTTGGGCAGGGACGTCGAGGAGTTATACTTCTTGCAGGACGCCACGAGGTGTGGTAACACTAATTTCGTGATATTGTAGCATCCGAGGACATCAATATCCATGACCGATTTGAACGCGTTGGGCGAGAGTTGTGAGATGGGCGCAAGGAAGTTGCCCGCTGCTCCGGCGCTGGAAATCATCAACTCAACATTAGCATCGACTTCACCTATAAATGGATCGAACACCTGATTCAGAAGTTGAGGCAGACGAACTTACATGAGAAAATCAATTCCCCCGAGCTCTTCCACGCACTGCTTGACGGCGGCCTCCAAGTTTTCGACGTTACGGACATCCACTGCCCCAATACCCAGAACCTTGCTCCCCGGTCGAGCGGTGGCAATGTCTTTGGCCACTGACTGGGTTTTCTCAACATTGCGTCCGACGATGCACGCATTCGCCCCTAGGTGCACCAATGCTCGCACTTGCGCCGAGCAGATACTACCGTTTCCCCCGGTACAGAAGACGACTTTGTCGACGAAGAGGTTGCCCTTCCACACCTCCGACAGGTATTGATGCTTTTCCAGAGGCATTGCAATAACCTCGAAGGGGGAATCGATGCTGGTTAGTTACAAGATGAAGAAAAGTAGAGGGTATCTTGGCAGACGGATCTCTGTGTTGCGTTTGTCGGAGGATGTTACAGTCCACAAGTAAGCAGTTGAAGAGCATCATGATGTATGGTCGCTGGACTAATTGTCTCTGCTCATGCTTCCGCTGCCGCCTCGGCAGGAAGTTTCAAGGGCGAACCGAGGCCGGCGGATGAACCGCACTGGGTTAAACGATCAATTTTGACGGAGCCTATAACCAGCTCAGCTTGGTCTTTGGCTTCACACCTGGTACAGACTGATAGATTCGAAGGTTGGTGTCCGCAGGTCGTGTCTGCACTGCCTTGATGATTCCAACGTCCAAGACCGGGTTTGCCCAAATGGACACAATGACCATCGGCTGATCCATCAACCATCGTGACAGAATACGGCAGCAGACGCAGTATGATTCTAACTGAGGTTACTATTACAGTGTTGTGGATCTTCGTACTGTCTCAGGCTGCCCTGATCTACATGCTGCATCTCTTTCACAAGGACGAAAAACAGGATGGTATGAGCACTCTGGTTTGGTAACCACTTAGTGGAGATGCTGCCTGATTGATCCCACGCAGGATGATGGTCTTGACCCCGGCGGGGCCTAAGGAGGTGATAGAGAGCCTTGGGCTATCGTCCCATTCTCGGAACACCCATCCCCCCAGAATTGCTCGCCCTGAAACATTGGGCGTCTCTGAGAATTTACAATTTCGACGCTATGGCTTTCTTGTTTTGTGTCTCCTGGTCTCTGATGAGACGCCGGAGGGTCTTACCAGATGGGCTCCTCGGGATGATGTCGACAAATCGAATACCGCCAGCGAGCCATTTATGTCGGGCTTTCTGAATCTGGACGAGCTGTGTCAGCTCATGAGCCAGAGCCTCTGCACTGAGATCCGCTCCGATAGTTAGCGATCTCTGTACGTAGGCTTTGGGAATCTCGCCTGCCCGTTCGTCCGGGATTCCAATCACTGTACAATCTGCCACCGCCGGGTGCGTAAGTAGGCAAGCCTCTAACTCAGCCGGCACAACCTGTAAGCCCTATTTTCCCTCGGTGTTAGTCACGAGATACCTTCACCATTCGAGACGAGAGGATAGAAGAGAACGAGAGCGAAACATCTCATACCTTCACTTTAATAACTTCCTTCACTCGGTCCACGATGAAAATATGTTCATTACCAGCAGGGGACTGCCGAAACACAGCGATGTCACCGGTTCGCAGCCACCGACCATTTTCGCACTCCAAGAAGCTTTCTTTGGTGGCCGTGGGATCCCCCCAATACCCAAGAATGACGCCAGGCCCTTGGGCGTACACCTCTCCCGGTCGGTCAAGCTGCGTCACCTCGGTGCCATCCTCGGCCAAGAGCATCACACTGACCCCTGGAACGAGATTCCCGGCACTTCCCGCCCAAGGCTCGTGGCTACTGGTGAGAGAGATGGCTGCGCCGGCTTCGGTCAGACCATAGCCTTGCCGAAAGACCCAGTGGGGATAGTGCTTGTTGAGTCTATTGAGCGTCTCCGTGTCGAGGGGTGCGCCTCCACTGAGCACAGTTTGGATGCTGCTCAGATCGTGTCTTTTCAGCAAGTGAGGACTCTTCCCCAGGGCCACAATAATGGGAGGTACCACGGAGAAGATATTGATGTGGAACTTCTCCACAGACTCGAGCATTTGCTCCATCTGGAATCTGGGCAGGATAATCACCGAGTCTCCTCGATAGGTACTGAGGTGCGAGATGATAACCAACCCGTACACGTGTGACGCAGGAAGTAATCCCAGCGTCACCTGTCGCGCACTTGGGCCTCCACGGCCACGAAGTTCAAACAGGTTGACCTGCATGATGTTGGCAATGATGTTGCGATGCGAGACCGCAGCCATCTTCTGCAGGTCAAAAAATTAGCATCCGTACAAGTCGGAGGCCCTCAATAGCACCCCTTCCTCAAATATTGGAAACACATCTCATACCGGAGGACCACTCGTGCCACTGGAGTGGCTTAAATACGCAATTTGCTTTGCCGACTGCCCGGGAATCCACCTCGCCGCTTCAAGCCCAGGAAGGTCCTGACCTCGGCGCAAGAGTTGAGTCATCGTGGTGTATCCCAGACTTTCGCCCGAGACCTTATCGCCGGGCATGTCCAAGATGTAGATTTTGTTCGAAGGAATTCCACACATCTTCGCAGCCTCCTTGGCTGTCTCTACCAGATCCAGGACCGTGAATAGAGCTTTGGCTTTGGCTTCTCTGAGCAATGGGCCCACCTCATAGGCCGTGTAGGTGGCATTGATAGCTGCAATGACGCCATTCAGGCGATGTACTGCCCAATTGAGAGTCGGAATGTCTATCTGTGGTAGAGCAATCAATTGTTCTGACCACCAAAGATACACACACACACCCACACACACAAAAGGAAACCGAGAGAAAGAGGAGAGGAGAGCAGGGGAATTTCGAGACTGACTGTGTTGAGCGCAAACACCCCCACCACCTTATCAATTTCGCTTCCCTCGTTCACAGCCCAACCCAACTCTGAGGAAAGGGAATTGGCCAGGATCTCGACACGCTCCTTCTGTTCCACTGGTGTGATTGTCTTGCCCGAGATGCCGCAAACGTAAGGATTGAGCGATGTACTAAATGGTGCCCGTCCATACTGCTCGTCGAACATAAAGACTGGAAGCGACACATCCGGGATCTCGGGCAGAGGAGGTAGCCATGATGGCGGCGTGAAAACCATCTGGGCGGTGTTTGAGTCGTTGATCACGTCCACGCATGCGTGAAAGAATGAGTGACGAGGCGAGGCAGGCGCTGTGCTCTTCAAGACACCTGCTATGACGGTGGGTTTCGACGGGTCAACCTATGAATTTCCGAGAATTGGACTTACTTGTACCCTTGTTCAAGCGCGAATCCACCAACTGGGAGGGATGCCAGGGACCAGTAATAGAATCCAAAGCTCCGAGGTGTCCCGATCTGGTAATGCCGCTAGCGGGCGGACGATTCGATGCTACTTCCCGTGTCAGAGAATAATGTACCTAAGCCTTCGATCACCCCAATTCGATTATCACCAGCAACTCATTCAGGACATGCCCTTACTGTCAATCAAAGTGGATTTTCGGGCCTTGCTCGTGGACAGGAGGGAGCCGAGGGTCCGCTGGCTGGTCGGTTGTGGGCGTGACCGGTGGATCGCAGGGAAGAATCTGCCGCACTCCGGACACCGCAGGCAGGATCTTTGATTGAAAAAAAAAAAGCGGTCCTCGTCGTCTTTGAAGACAAAAGAAGTTGCATAGTATTTTGATCACAAAACCTCACGCACTCTCGCTTGGGTAACCACTTGCTAGATGGCGAACAGGAATGCCGTTGCTCCGGATGAGCCTCAGCTGGACTTGACCCCCTTTGCAGAAGCTCCCTGGCTCCTGGGTGTACCCTCGCCCTTCTACACAGACTCACATCGAGCATGGCAAAAAGCATGCCGTGCCTTCATCAACAAACATCTGAGTGAGCATGGCTTGCGCTGGGTCAAAGAAGGCGCTGTGCCAGTCGATTTGCATCGCACCTTTGCCAAGGCGGGAATGCTCATCCCTTGCTTGCCAGCACCACTCCCGCTTCAGCGTCTAAAGAATCTGGGCATCCACGAGCTGCTCGGGGTCCTGAAGCTGGAGGACTATGACTACTTTCATTTTTTGATCTACGTCGCCGAGGTATGTGCCCTAATAGCTGTCGGTCCTCATACACTGCAAAAGATGCCAAGGATCCAGCAACAGCAGTCTCTAGCCTCGTCTATCTTTCTTTTTTCTTGCTAATGGCATGGCTGTTAGCTCTACCGATGCGGTCTTTGGGGCCCAGCGGGAACTATTGTTCCTGGAATGTCTTTCGGAACGCCTCCAATTCTGCATTATGGAAGTCAGGAGCTGCAGGACAGACTCCTCCCGGGCCTGCTGACAGGTACAACTAGAACCTGCATCGCCGTCACGGAGCCTGGCGCCGGTTCGGATGTGGCCAATATTGAGACAACAGCCACCCTGGTCCAAGAAGGAAAATACTATAAAGTTGATGGCTCCAAGAAATGGTGAGTCTAAATTTGGTTTGTTAGAAATAATAATGTCATGGAAGGTACGTTGCTACACAAGGCACTTACAAAAATACTAACACATCGACTTACAGGATTTCCACCGGCATCTGGGCGGACTATGCGACGACCGCGGTACGCACGGGGGGGCCCGGCCCTTCCGGCATCTCCATCCTCGTGATCCCTTTGAAGGATACGCCAGGGGTGACCTGCAGATCTATGGACATATCTATTGGCAAAATGGCCGGCACCACCTTTATCGACTTTGACAACGTTCTGGTCCCCGCTACTAACCTCGTAGGCGAGGAAGGACATGGCCTCCGGTATATCTTGACTAACTTCAACCACGAGCGCCTCAGTCTAGTTATCAGCGCTATTGTACAGGCGCGCAAAGTGCTCAGCACAGCCTTTGCCTACACTAGCCGCCGTGAAGCTTTTGGCAAACGACTCATCGACCAGCCTGTCGTTCGACATCGCCTGGCCAAGGCAGGTGCTGCCTTGGAAGCGGAATGGTCGCGCACGGAGCAGCTCACTTACGCCATGAATAATCTGAGCAAACCCGACGCTGATGCTCTCCTGGGTGGCCAGATTGCTATGGCCAAGGTCGGGGCTGGCAAAGTGCTCGAGAAGTGCGTGAGCCATGCTCAGGTCTTGTTGGGTGGAAATAGCGTCACTCGGACCGGGCAGGGTGAACTGGTTGAAGGTGAGAAGTGTAGCGCGATCTATATTTCCTCGACAAACGAAAAAACATGCTGATCCAGAGTGCGCTCCGTAGTCATATCTCGCGAGGTCGGCCTGACACGAGTGCCTGGGGGGTCCGAAGACATCTTATTGGATCTAGCCATTCGTGAGCTGGCTAAACAATGGGAGCGCAAACTGAAACGGGGCGTCCAACTTTGAAGACGCTTGGATGTTGCTTTGCTTCTCAAACGGGCAGTATGGTTAACTCGTCTATCGTGGGGAGAACAATGTGCTAGAATGGGTGAGTGACAAGCGACAGAGGATGCAACCAAAAAAAAAACCATGGGAACATTGTACCTAGTTTGCCCATCCACTTTTACAAAGCATCAGTGCCTGGCCACCAGTAATGGTCACCCGACCGAAGAACTAGGCAAAAAGAGCAGATCGTACTGAACGCGGGGACGATTAAGTGGAGAGGGAGGAATTAAGACAGAGTCTGGTTGGCCTCACCGCTTGATTCCGGCTCCACATCGCACGACACGACACATTTTTGCTCCAACCACTTGTTTGGGGGACAGCGTCGATCACAATGTTGAAGAAAGATCCTGTCCAGAGAGACAAGAAATGGTTACAGGGTCGAGAATGTTGAGCGGTAGAACATTCTCAGCTTGTATTTATCTCGTAAGGATTGATGGTATGCACCCAGCTCTTCTTGTCGAAAGCGAAGGGGTTGGCATCCAACCCCCTCTGAAATCATGTGACTTTGATCACGTGATTTGCTTGTCACGTGATCCAATGTACATTGGCGTGGCGCCTGCCGCCAGTTAGTCGAAATCCTCAAGGAACCTTATTGGCACCTCATTTCTCGCCGAAATCCGAGGCAGGCTTTGCTCCGCGCTCAGAGCTAGTCTGTCACCCGGAACGAGTCACCCGATCTGCCTAGCCAAACCTCGACCGGAGAGAACCAAAGCTTAGGAATGCGGCGGATAAAACAACACCTGGAGCAAGCAACTTCGCCGCTGAGACTAATTTCGTGTTCTTGTTCCGCCATTGATCCTCCAAGGTCTCACCTCGCTTGAAGGGGACCTTGGCCGTCTCTAGAGGCTGAAGAAACCGAGGTAACGCGTATGGGGGATAACGCGGGGACAGAAAACGGTCGAGCCAAGTGGGAGGCGCCATGACAGCTCGGGTGTGAGTGAAAGTCAAGAAGCCGTGGACACCGTGGTAGTAACCGTGGCCGGACTCGCCCACCCCGCCGAAAGGGGCTCCACCGATCGCGGCATGCATCAAACAATCGTTTACCGTTACGCCTCCCGAACTGCAACTATCAAGAACTGTGCAAGAAATCCTTTAGCATTCCACTCGGAAAGGAGTGAAAGTGAGTGACGGGGATCTACTCACTGTGTTGCACTTCTGTCCGATCTTTGCTGAAGACGTACATTGCCAAAGGCGCTGGCAGACTAGGGATGCAAGGGTTGATCAGTAGATGTCATGCTTGTAGGGGAAAAAGCCTCTTTAAACTTGGTCGTGAGTGCGGCCACCGAGTTCGTGGGTACCCCAGAGGAGACCAACCCATCTCATCACATACCCGGCGATTGAAGTCTGAGCCTCCACAGTTGTTGCTTTGATGACGGGGCAGATGGGCCCAAAGAGCTCTTGTGACATGAGGGAATCTGCAGTCCCATGTATAGACTCGGTTAGCGTCATTCCGACATCACTGGAGGGCGAAAATACGGGGGTCAAGGGGCTTGAATGTGCCTTTTAGTGTCACATTCGTGACCATAGTTAAAGGGATGGCCAGTCGTGCTCTATCAGCCTGGCCTAGGCTTATGACTGTCCCGTGGGTACTGCCGAGCAACCCTTGCACGCGGTCGAAATGTCTCTCATTGATGATGGACGGCAAGCCACCGCTCTGGGCCGCAAAGACCGTCATCCAGTGCCGCAGTCGCTGTGCAAATTCGTCGTAAATGCACGGATCGGCAAAGACGTGGTTGACGGTCAGGCAGATCTGTCCGGCATTAACGGTCTTGGCCCAGGCAATTCGTTTCGCGGCTAGGTCGACATCGGCTGTCTTGCATACGATCGCAGGACCCTGGCCGCCCAGCTCGAGCACCGTCGGCGTAAGGTGTCGGGCCGCCGCTGCCGCAATCACGCGGGCGGTCCTGCTGGATCCGGTGAAGAAAATATGATTGTACTGGCATTCCAAAATCCACGTCATCTCTTCGGGACCGCCGGTGGCCAGCATCACGGCCGAGCCATCAAGATATGTCGAGACCAGCTCAGCCAACAACTGCTCTGACGCCGTGGCAAGCTCCGACGGCTTCATGACCACGCAGCAGCCGGCTGCAATTGCCGCCACCACGGGCTGCAACAGAAGAAGGAAAGGGTAGTTCCACGAGCCGATGATCAAGGCCACACCCAGCGGGTCCTTCCTGATTCGCACGCCTAGCATCCGGTTCAGGCTCATCCATGAGCCAGGCTTCTCGTCGGCCGCCCAAGCTTCGAAGCTCTTGAGCGTGCTCAGAATGTCCTCTTTCAATGTGAAGAGCTCGAGCCGACGTGACTCAGCCTCGGAACGATTCAAGTCGTGCTTCAGGGCGTTGATAATTCTTTGCTCGTTATCCACAATCATCCACCAGAGCTGCTTCAACTGCCACTTGCGCCATGCCAAGTCCTTGGTTCGCCCTGCAGCGAACGTCGCTTTCAGTATGCAGAGGGTCTCGTTGAATGAGTCTCGAGTGGTATAGGTAGGACGCATTGTGAGTCAACTCTCCAGTCTTATGAAAAGGTCAACATAAAAGGATGACCTTGGCAAAATCTGGACTGTAAAAGTAGCAGGTATTGAGCGAGTTGGGGCCCGAAGGGGGGGGGGGGGGCTTTTTGTTCGGTCGTAGATGATTTCTCGACTTTCCATCCGGACTCAAGCATCGAGCATCTAGCCAGACGGAATCCTTCCAAGCAAGCCCTGTAAGTGAAAGCGTAGGAGGACAAACGTCTCTTCCGTCTTTTCTCGGCCCATGTCACGCCGCGGCTGTAGTCTTCAAGGCAAACCTCCTCAAGTCAGCAGAAGTAGCACGTCGACTGGAGCCTGTAGTGCATGTTGCCGGGACCTCTACTGAAGACTGCTACCGGCCAAGACGCTTGATTCGGGTGCTAGCGTTAGAAAAGGGTGCGGGGGTTCCTCCACAACCAAGTGCATCAGGGGGAACAAGGACGTATCAGCGAGAGCCTGCCTTCCTAGAGGGGATAGCTTGACTAACTCAACTAGGAATTGCCGGCGGTGCCGAGATTACTGCTTTCATACTAGTGGATTTACTCAGATGTATCACGTGTTGTATCACGTTCGCTCTACTTCTGCTCATTGCGGGTGACCGGTTGCAATGACCATGATCTTCGTGTCAGGAGCTAGCGTACCTTCGTAGCTATGTAGACGTGACGAATCCCCTTGGACCCTTATAGTCGGACCATGTCCTCAAAGAATTATATCAATACGATATATATATATATATATATATATATATGTGCCTCTTCAGGTACCGGCTGTGCCGGTACTCTGCCTACCTCATAGGTTCACCCCCCTTGACTCCACTAGATCTTTTTGTCGTGGTATCATGTGTGACTACGGACGTTTAGAATTCCTATAATTTGTCGGGGGATGGGGGGTGCCCTTCGGAACATCAAGTATCGCGCCGCGGCCGGCTCACAGGCCAGTGCTAACTGAGGACCAACCCCATAGGAGAAAACCCTTCCTCCCGACTCTGCCTGCCATCCGTCATCTCCTCTTTTCGCATCCTTTTCGCGGCATCGCGCTCCTTTGTCTCATGTCTCCAATCTCAGATGACCAAAAGAGCAAAGAAGACGTCTGCCTGAGTCCGCCAATGACCATTCGCCAGGCAAGACAAGAGACCATCCATTGCTCACGTCTCTAAATGCATCATGAGACCCACGGCCGGTCGTCAATGATGGTCCCCTTTCCAGTATCGTACTTGACATTGAAATGACCGCCCTCGACGATTCGTATATCCACTATCGGCTGCAACTGAGGGCCGGAATCTGTGGTGAAAGCAATCAGAATCGTGGATACGAGACCGAATGATAGTGTCGAGTAGTAGACAATCTTGAAGGACTTGATAAAAGCGGTTTTGACTCCCAAGATGGCGATTTGAAGGGCTTGCGGTGACAGCTTGGACAACACGGGGTTCGTGGCCGCGCCCGTCGTGAGCGCTTCCAGCACCACAGGAATCAAGCTCGGATCGACGCCCAAGTGGGCCAATGGAATTGCCACCTCAGACACCACGTAGTCCTTGAGCTTGTTGGTCAAGACAAGGGAGTAGACCAGCGAGCCCGCGAAGTTGCCAATCGCACGCAGGAAGAAATGCGTCATGACCGAGGTGCCCAGGTAGTGGTGTGGCACGAACTGGAAGACCGAGGTGAAGCCCACCAGTAAGCCAGAGTAAGAGGCGTTGACCAGGCACGCCAGCACAGTGGACGCCGCCAAAGATCCCTCGGCTGCCCAAGAATGATCAAAAGTCAGCTGACGGTGTCGTCAAGGTAGGCTGTGACTGTCAAAGAACAAGGCTGCGCAACTTACAGACAATGGCTTGTAGGGCGGCAAACAGAGTGAGCAAGACGCATAGACCCATCATCAACCAGTTGGAATATCGCCCGAGCCTCTGCAAGACCCGACCATAGATGGGAGCTAGAAATACGCCTGTGATCTGAGGGGCCGAAGCGAACCAGCCGGCCTTTAACGTGTCCTTGGTGTACAGGAGCTGAACTTGCTGAGGCCAGATGACCGACGTGGAGGATGCCACTAACGCACACAGGAGACTGGGTGCCAGGAACAGAGTATACCTACGAAACTGGCGGAAGATTGACCTGGGATACATTGGATATGGGAGTCGAAGCCGCATGAAATACTCGAATGGAATGATGGACACGATCATGACGATACCCACAACGAGGGGACCCAGAGTCTTTGCATTTCCCCTACGGTAAAAGATTCAGTCAGAAACATCCAACATCGTCTCAAGGCAAAGCCCACGACACGTACCAAGGATAGATGAAGAGGCCGAAGGCGGCTCCCACCAAGGCGAGCTGGGCGCCGAATGCGATGAGCGAGCACCCGATCCAATCAAGGCTTAACAGCTGCTGCCATCTTGTCTTGCCTTTCTCTTTCACGTGCTGGTCGAGTGGATGGTACCAGAAAAATATGAGGACCAATGCCAGGAGGTTCAACGCGAAAGGAATCCAGAAGGCCACCCTCCACGATTGGTGCAGGGTGATGCTGGCCGCTGTAGACGTTTGATGACCCGTCAGCGATCCGACATGTCCACATTCCGGGCACGTTCGGGCTAAAGCTAGCGAGAAAGAACAGACGGGAGGGCCATTCAGGTGACACTTTATGGCTTTACAATTTATTCACTCACCTATGATAGGCCCAAACGCCTGTGCAGGAGCTGAAGACGCCCACAGACATCCAAAGGCGAAGGGGCGGGAGGACCGTGGCACAATCTCCGCAAGCGAGGCAATCACCACTTGTTTGAACAAGATTCCGATGCATGTGATGATCTCTGTGCCGAAGATTTGGTCAATGCCATTGACATTGGCCGTCGTCACGTTACCGATGGCGGCCAATAAAACACCGGCAAGCAGGAATCTCCGTCGTCCGAAGATGTCACTGATATATCCCACCACTGGGGCGGCCGGCGTGGCCACGATAGGAATGATACTGCCAGTGAGGATGTAGAACCTGTTCGGGCCTATAAGGTGGCCAGCAAGCGATCAGTATGTGCGCATCCATGGCCACAAGCGGAAAATCGCAGAAGGGTCTTCTACCATAGATTTGGTTGATCCTCGCCGCCATTTGGGAAGAAAGGACCAGAGCGAAAGCGTCGGCCAAGAATGCTACCGCCAAACCCTGGAGAGGAAAAAATCGTATTAATCAGGATGAACTTGGAGGATGCGTTGTGGAGAGCCTCGAATATCGATACTTACCGAGATTGCCAAAGCCTTGGAGGTTGTGAAGCAAAAATCGGCCCGCGCATCGCCGTCGCCCGCGTGCTCGAGATGCTCTTGCTTGTCATCCTGACTAGAGGGAGGCTTCTCCAAGTTGTGGTTAGCCTCGAAGGGGCTGGTGTCATCAAAGACCTCATTCTCATGGTTAGCTTGGTGGGATTTGGGGTCCATTGCTGCAGTCCCAGGGAAGTGTGGAGGTATAGTGAGAAGAAAATGCAGCATGGAAATATCTAAAGAATTGGGAAAAGGCTAGAAAGAAACCGGAGAGTCCTACTTAATATAGCATGATCGTTACAGGTAGTTCAGCACTGTGCAGTGCTAGATGTGACCGCTCGGCGCACAGGGCTCTGTGCAGTCCACATACACTCCTCTCCCCAGACTCAAGATGCACCCCCATAAGAAGCCGGAAGCGACTCGGCTCCCCGGGAAAGCCTCGCAAGCTTTCAGAGCGCCCTGGATCAAAACGGCTCGGTTTGAACAAACTTGACTTAAGCACTGGTGCTTCGGAGAAGAGGAATCTGAAAGGCAGCCGAGTATCAAGTTCACCGTCTGCAGAGACGACGTTCATCCCATGTGGAGAAGCCGTGCTGTTGCTGTGTGCTACTTGAGATCGATGGTTTTCCGAGGCCCCGGACGAAAACATTTGACATAGTCTGTGACTGTTAACAATTTGCGGGTTATAGATGTGTCAAAAGGCGAGATGGCTCGGTCGTCATCTCGAAAGAGCGGTATACGCGCGCTCATTTGTGGATCGACGTGTTTGTTCGAGAGGGAAGAGATAATTGGATCGACGCCAAGGAGCCGCCAATCCCAAATAGTCATCGCTGTGCTGGCTGGAGGGCGAGAGCTGGTGGGTATCTGGTCTGAGAGATTTATCCTCCTATTCCTCATTGATGGTCCTCAATAGTGATCATGGGGAACCAGACACGCCGGAAGCTGAGATGATGTCTTAGCTCAGTATGATTGGGTAGCGTTTCCGACATGGATCAATCAGTCACATCGAGATTGACTCGCGATGTCGTCCGGTCGTGGGCGGCCTTGTTGTCTGTCCGACCAACTCGGAACGTGAGCTTCGGCCGAGACCAACCAAGTCCGTAATCGCACCGAGGCCTAGCTACCACCGTCCGCGATATGACGGGTACAATAGTTTCTTAGCCCCGGCCCGGCATGGTACGCAGTCAAGGAGGGAGGGCATATGTTCTACGGTGCGGCATCAATAGTCGAATTTAACAGACCTGGAGTATGGTCTCGTAAGTATTGAATAGAGGAGCCCAGCCTTGTCCCACGCCCATCCCAAGCGGCCCTCAACTTTTTTATTTTGCATGACGTTTGCAGTTTCCGTGTTAGCTGCCAGAGGAATAGACGTGCCGATTGTCCATTGCGTCCTGTAATGCCTGTGATTTTCTCGCTATTTGGGTGGGGGCGAACGGTGTTCTATTATCTCAGAGTTCTGCATCGTTATCTTGGTGTTCGAGAAATTCATCCCACGAAGTCAGTGTACCCAGAGTCGGAAGTTCCATGGGGAACACGGAATCTATCGCGGGTCCCGGGGAGGCATCCGATTCGCCATTGAACTGGTCTCCAGGGTTCACTCTACTACCCATAGTCGAATGTTCTATCTCTTCCCGTGGTCCCGGGCCAATCGGAGGATAGAGGAACATGTTGTGAATGCCAGGCCATGGATCCTCATCCAGAGTCCCTAGTTGGGGGAGCCGGAGAATTGGTGACCCGATTCTGGTTGCTTTGATCGCCGCCGATGCAGGCGTGAAGAAGTCTGGTCGAAGCTGCTCAGGCAAGTCATGACGTCCGACCCGTTCCCCGCGGGCGATACAAAAGTTCAAAGTCGTGGTGACCTGCAGGTACAAAGCGCGGTGTTGCCTGAGGAACTCACACCAAGTGTCCTTAAACGACGAATTCGAGACCGCACTGATCGAATGATGGGCTTCTGGCAGCGAAGGGTCGGTTGTACTTTCATAGACGGGTGGTGCCGAGGGTATTGGAATTAGCACCTCAATATGATTGAAGACAGGATCGATCCCATCCCACTTGCTCTTGTATACTTTCATAGCAGTTTGAAGTGTCTGCAGACATTGATGTAGAGTCACTGATTCGGAGCTTTCGGTGTCGAGCTGGAAACCAACTTCAAGGACCTTGAGCGGGAGGGCCGTGTATGCAGGTCTGCCATATGCAAACAAATAGTTTAGTGAGAGCTGCGACTTGGCAAGCGGCGAGATCATACCACAGGAGAGGTAGTTGGACGGGGGTCGGCAGGGAAGGGAAATTGGAAGATATAAGACTGGTGAAGGGCTCGCCTTACCCTTGCATATCCAATTTGGTCTCCAAGCCGCGCGCGCACAGATCGCCGGTGGCTTCACAAATAGACATGATGCCCTCGTAGATTGTTTCTCGCGCCACACGGAGCCTAATCTCAATCAAGACGTTCGCGTACGACGGATAAAAATGAGAAAGAAGAAATTCGGTGGAATAGAGAGCGATCTCGGCGGTGCTGTGGTTTTCCGGCGGTCAGCTAGGTGCGGTTCGTTGTCGAGTCAGGAATCTGGAGGAGGATGGACATGATGCGTACCGGAACGACATGCTCAGTAACCGGTCAAATAGTATCAGAGAAATGTGCAATGGAGTCTTCAACGACGATTGCAGGCGGGCGGATTCTGACCATTCTCGTAGATCTTCCTTACACTGCTCTATCCGGAGGAGAGTCTCTGAGTAGTCACTGAACGAGGATATCTGCGGCACCACTGAGTCACCAGGCGGGTAAATGAGGGTCAGCAGCTTTGATAGGGCGATGGCAAGCTGAAGCTGGCGTAGAAAGAACCGCGCCAGATGTTTTTGCGTGGTTTGATCATACACCAATGACCCGTCGCGATCGCTCTCCAGGTCGGCGAGGGTCAACGCAGGCAGCCGCACTGGGTTGAACGTGTCCAAGGTGACATGGAGTGGTCGCCTTGATCCTAATGAGATCAGTCGGTCCCGAATGATACAGCACCACCATAGCCTCGTCCAGAGATCCTGCCCTGCGGTGTTGTGGGTATTGCCGGGACTCGGTCGAGCTGCCGTGGCGTACCGCACGGCCGTCATGAGCCAGAAGCTGTTTCCTTTGGCCATATCGTTGTTGGAGCTAATGAGGGATAGGATCAGAGCCCCCTGCGTAATGGTGATCGGGTCGTCTTCCCACCCCAAATCATAGAGGAGCTAACACCATCAGCAAAGGCGGGGGAAATTGTATTAGCTCTCTAGGGCGGACTCGGGACTTACATAAGCTCGGCGACACAGAGACTGGCGTGCAGCTTGATGGTCTCGAAATCCGCAGGCACTTAATGTGCCTAGAGGGACAAACTGTTGACGAGCACGACGAGTCAGTTCGAATTTGTGCATTGTCCGTGGTCCGAGAAGGACCCCACAGGCATCTACAGGTCTTACCATTGAACTCGCCGCCAGCACGGCTTGGAACACAAACAAAGACGGAGGATTGGGGACGGTCTTGTCGCCATCGATGTCAATGAAGGCTTCGCAGAAGTCGCGCTCATGCAGAACCGGTAACATGGGTTGAATGTATAAGAAGTACTCTCTCAAGAAGATGTCGAGCACGGGATTTGGTGGAACCTGAAAACAGCCGTTATCTTCCAAGAATCTTACGTCGGAGGGGCAAAGCCGATCCAGCATGGGGGACTGTGAGAAGAGCTTGTTAACCCTTGGTAACGACGGCAAGGACTCGTTCCAAGACTTTGGCAACTCGATTGGCGCCGATGCAAGCAGAGACAAGTCGTTCGAAGCCGCGTGCGGCCGCTGGGATAGCTCTGGCACGAGATGCGTGGCGCGCGAGCGATCGGAGAGACGATGTTGGCACGCATGGATAGCCTGGACCACGTCCTTGAGTCCGGTGTCTCGAGAACATGAGAGGAAATCGAGCCCGCTATGCTGCGTGAACCAGTTGAATATTCTGTTGAAATTCGGACTGTGTTCTTCATCTGCCCGTGTCCCATCCAGGCCCGCGAGACTGTTGTCGAAAGAGTGGTCATAGACGCTGCCGGTGTATGCCGTCCCCGAGTCTCCTGCAGTGAAAGCCAACAAGCATTGAGGCCTTGGTGGAGACAATGGCATCTGCCGTTCGCTGGCCGATGGTTCATCGTCCGAGGTAGATGTACGAGCTTGTAATCCTGAGTCTTCGCTGAGCGGTTTGAGCCTGGAGCAGAGCCTGAGATTGACTGGTCAGGAAACGAAGCTCATCTTCTTTTAGTAGCTTTAGGGGCAGCGCCGACCTTTTGCGTGAGCTTTGTAGGACTTCACACGAGAAACCCTCGATGCGGCAATGGGAGCACGGCAGGCCGGTGTTAGCGACGTCGCAACGAATCTTCCGTTTCCGACACGACAAGCAAGCCCTGGCCGCCCTCTTCGGGACGCTGGATGCATCTACAATGCGAAACTTGCTTGGAGGCGGAGCCATAGTCGCCGTTCTGTGGCTTGTCGAGGGCCCATCGAGAAGGAACTCGACAGTCAGGTTGGGCTGGCGGGCCTAGACAAGGAGTGTCAGAGATGGTGCCTGAGCCGTTGTGATCCGGTCTGGGGTTGAGAATATGTATTGTCGCGGAGTGACACTGCCCTCGCATGCCGTGACCAGTCCAAGTCAGTCCTTCTGGGGTGAAGCTTGGTGGTACCGAGGCAAAATCTCCACCGTCCTACAGTTCTAATTAGTAGCCCACACGCCTTGGGCAGGCCCTGCCTCCTAGCCCCCAATAAGTGTCATCGCGGGCTCCTAGTGCAGATAGCTTCTGAGTATTCCTGGCTCACTACATCTATGTACTTATGTTCCTATATGAAGTCTTGTATTTTGGATCCATTCTTCCTCCACCATAGTGACCCCGCGATACCTGACCATGGCGGCTTCTACAACGTATCGACACTTTAAGGTCTCGGTGCCCCACGAATATGTCGCTCACGTTGAAATCAGCCGGGCTGACAAGGTGAATGCCTTACAGAAAGGTGAGTGACATGTGGGAAATACTCCCCCACGAACCTCCGGCCCTTCATCTCATGGTTTTGTATCTCACAGCCAACTTCATTCCAATATAGCATGTGGTTAGAGCTTCGACAGGTCTTTGATGACCTCTCAGAGGATGCTTCCGTGCGGGCGGTTGTGCTGTCGGGCGCCGGGGATCGGGGCTTCTCTACAGGGCTCGACTTAGTTGCCGCCCAGTCTCCTGGCACCCTCTTCAATCCGCTCCCAGAAGACATTGCGGATGGTGCACGATACGCGGCACGGGTCCGAAAGTTCGCTGTCCGCGCGCAGGACTGCGTGACGAGCATTGAGCGGTGCGAGAAACGTACGTTGTTCCTCCTCCCCGCTGACAAGCCCGGGTGGCCCGGCTCATGCTAATCTGATCAGCCGTCATCTGCGTCCTGCATGGCATCACGAGGGGCTGGCCGTCGACATTGCTACGTGTGCCGACCTATGGCTGTGCACGTCCGACGCGACATTCAGCGTCAAAGAGGTCGATGCGGGACTGGCGGCCGACGTGAGCACCTTGACCCGGCTGCCCAAGATTGTCGGCTCATACGCTTGGGTCAAGGAGGTCTCGCTGACCGCCAGGGTCTTCGGGGCGGACGAGGCCCTCCGTGTGGGTTTCGTCAACAGCGTCTGGCCGACCAAGGCTGCCGCACTTCACGAAGCTCGCCGCATCGCGGTCGTCTTAGCAAGCAAGAGCCCGGTGGCTGTACAAGGGACCAAGAACTTCCTGGACTGGTGTCGTGACCACGACATTACCACCGGTAAGTAAACTGAACCCTATCCGGCCCCTAGCCCAAGCCTCAAGCCCGGGAAGCTCAATCTAAGACCGCGAGTGTAGGCTTGAGGTATACCGCCATGTGGAATGGCGGCGCCTTGAACACCAAAGATGTTCCCCATGCGATCGGAGCCATCCAGGGCAAATACAAACCCAGATTTGAGAAATTGTGACCGAGGCATATGTGTGTATATATATATTGTTCCGGGGCTCAGGTCGGCAACGAGAAGACACTCAGAGCTTTGACTCTTCTATAGGCAAATCTGAGGGGTGCAGGCCCATGATCACCATGCTTTTGTCCCACATATTTGGGCTCCTGACTCTCGAGGATTCTGCTAAAACTCATCGTGCTTATTGGCGTTTGACGACTTCAATCAATAGTGTAGAAATCGGGAGAAAGCCAGCCATAACCGTCACGTAGCTGGTTGTCCATGCCAATGACTTGGTTGGTACCTTTGGGTCGCATCTCTTTTTGGCACTGGACCTCCTTTTTGACTGCCAAGCTTCCCAGCCATATAATTCTCATGCCTGTGCGGAGACGTTTACAGCAGCCGCTTGAGACAGAACGAGAAGCGACGGGTAGGTACGGCCTTCGAAGGTGAACAGGTTCAACAACTGCGGCCATGACCGATGAGGCTTGCTGCTCTCAAAAAGCCGTTGACCAATAGCTTTTCATTTGCCGGCCGAGAGGGCGGTCGAGGTTTCTCGAGAGCTCCGGGATTACTCAATTGGACACAGTACCGCGGCTGTGTACAAAAAGATCCCACGACCGCGAATTTTTAGTGCCTTGGCACGCAGTGGAGAATATTCACCTTTAGCTCGAATCACATTTTACAAACAGAGCACCGCGGAGGACAATATAGTCTCCCTCGCCTTTAGATAGGACTCTCTTTTTCAACTTCGTCTTCAGAGCAGCCCTTACAGTAGATTTCCTCTACCATTGCGCCTTCGTGCCCACGGCGCTACGACTGTCTTTTGCCATTGGCCCTGTTCTCTGCCCGAACGTCTCACGCAAGACATGCGATACTTGACAGTCGTCTGCTTATCTATCGTACCTTTCTGGATTGTATGCTTGTAGCGTCACTCGTGCTGTATTGGCCCCATACCACCCAGACACTTCCTAGTGAGACCGATCCACATGGAGGTAATGATTGAGCAGCGCTTGACTGTGTTTGCGACGATCACAGAAGATCCGTTCGTACTTGCACTGAGTGTCCGAGCATGGACAGAACTGCCCATCCCCCCATGGAATCATTGTCAACACACATTCTGGTCTCCTAGAAAGAGAATTATCTCGCATAAATTTGCATTGGCATATTAAAAACATGACTCTCCTAATCGATCTTCAGGAAATAGTGGCGACTCCCAATGTACCAACGGCCCTGCGTGCTTGTTTTATCCAATCCAGTGCCGACGGAGTTTTTCAATAGTCACTCGGCCCGTCAGTCGAGGTTGCGCGGATTCCGGATGCTAGCATGTCACACTACTCCCATCTCATGATCAAATGTCGTCTCCGGAAACGGATGCCGCCGCCTCTGGCTCGAAGAGAATAAAGGTGGAAAACGCGGGGGACGATCAGGACGTCGTCGTCATGTCAGACCTACCTCCTGCTAACTCTACAGGCTCTGAGCCTGACCAGCAAGCCGGGAACTCCACCAAAGGAAATAGCCGTCGAGCCGTTTCAACTCTCCGGCTAGTGATCAGCGAAGCGGAGCATCGGACCCACCACCCAACAAGAATAGTGCCGAACCAGTGGATGACGACGCGGAGCCACAACTCTTGCAAGATGACTCTGGTGGTCTCGAATTATTCCCTGGCGCCCCCTGTGTCACCGTGGCCATGCGGTGCAAACGGCAGAATGATTCGTCACCGATGTACCTCAACCGTTACGGGCCTCGCCGGTGTTGCTGGTTTGTGCGGATCACGGACCTGAAAGGCTCAGTGGACGTTGAGAAGCTCCAGGATGTTGCTTACAATTACGAGCGCGTCTTGGACTATCCGAGGAGAAAGGGTGAGCCTCGCATAGGGGCTAGCAGCGTCCAAGGCATTATCACCATTGTTTGGGATTGTCAAGGGTTCGAGGATGACCCGTTACAAGCTGCCGAACTCTTGAACCCCAAGAAAGTAAAACAGGCCGACACTTTAAGTACTCCAAAGACTCGCCAAGACTGGTTGAAACTGCCTGGACACAAACTGGAGAGGTATCGGGCAACTCACGTCGAAGTGAAATTCAATCAGACCATGGAAAATTGATTTCCGGAAGAAGGTCCCATTAGCACTCGATGGGAATTTGGCTCTCTATACAAGGCACTATATCGCCGGAGCGGCCAAATATGAGACCGAGACCAAAGTGTACAACTCAGCTCTTACTCAAGCGCGTCGATTTCTCGAGTGGTATCGAAAACACCGCCCTGAAAGCTTCGACAAAACCGGAGTTTAGATGAGGTCGGAAAGCCGGGAGCCCACCGTGCAGACATTCAAAAAGTCTGCCACTCCTGATCCGAAGACACAAGCCACAGCAGGAGAGACCTCTTACTCTGTCAGAGACTGCTTCTGCATGCGGAGGCGATCAGACCCAAGAAGGTAGCCCAGCTACACCACCCACAAAGCCTGGTCAAGGGCCAGGGTCAAACAAGCCCAGTCGGGATCTCGTAGAGAGATCGGCAAGAAATGCGTTCCGAATGAGCACGGGCAAGACAGAAGGGACGATGGACGAGGAAGACCAATTGACTGTTGACGTGTTCGTGTCACTGCACTTCAGAAGCACGGGTACGTGTAAACCGTAGCCACAGCAGGTACTCGTTGTCAACAAATGGAGCCTTGGGTGGAGCAACAAGGTAACTCGCGCTTTCTGCATTACGAGAAGGTAGTGGCTTCTCTCAACCACGGGATCTTCACTACGCACAAAGCTGGACCAAAAGCCTGAACACAAGGAGTACTAGCTGGATTCCACAGCCACATCATCATACAGTTCCGGATCATGCTAATCTAATGAGTAAGGACATTTGCGATTTTCCTCCCGAGGCCACTGCCTGTGTATGCGAGTCGGATCAGTATCTAGCTCGGCGGCGGGCACTGTCCAACCACTGGCTAGTCCGATTCCGATCTACTACGTCCGCTCTGGTCCCTCTCTCCGGCTCGCCATTACCACCGCAGCGCTAAGTTTCGAGTCCTTCTCTGAGGCGTCCGTGTAGAGGACCGCCTCTGAATGTTCGATTAATTCAGCCACTTTGTCCAGAGCTTGTGACCTATTCTAGGTCCATTGTGATCTCAATTAAGTCGGGCTAGTTCCAGGGTGGGAGGGGGGTTAGATCCATGGTCTCCAACGACTCAAGCTCCTTAACGTCGAACGTTTTGGTGGTTTCGGCGAGCAGGAATCTAGGCTGAGTTTCCTGTCGGTTCACCCGTTGTTTCATTCGGTCCATAACTCTAGCAAGTGGGTGCGTTTGAGGGACAGAGCATAATCGCATCACTACCTCTTGTCCTCGCTGTTTGAGTCTCAGGCGTGTAGGGAGTATATTACATTCTACCTCCAGCACCTGGGTGGCAGCGGACTTAAATGCCGAGATGATGATCCGGAGGAGGGCTGCTCTTTGGACGGTGTTGAAGACTCTGAGATGTCCTTTATCCTTGTTAGGGTTGTGCCACACTGTTGACGCATAATCCAGCTTGTGGGAAGACGCACGCCTGGTATATTTGCTTCATCTGGGCGGGGCGCAAGTGCCTTAGTCCGCCTATTTCAAGGGCCGTGGTGGTTGCTGCCTTTACCGCTCGTTGCACATGGTCTTTCCACCGTAGTTCATCGTCAAATACCACCCGGAGGAGTTTGGCTGTGCGGCCGGCGTGAATGACCTTGCCGTCCATGGTGATGTTTCCTTTCCCTCGTTCTCTTTTTGCGCCGCGTGAGGTGAATCAGCTCCGTCTTCTCCACGGTGAACGCTGATCCCGTTAGCCGTGCCCACTCTGTGATTCGAGGGATGTCCTCTTGTTGAATCTTTTGGAGGTTTTCTTCTGCTGATGCTCCTACTCTCCACCGGAAATAGTCATCAATATGAAGAGTCCTAATCTAAAATCAACTAGTTCTACTTAGGATTATAGCTAGCGTAACCCCTTTAGTATACTAAGTCTATTAGACCCAAAGACCGCGAAAGAAGTTCTACTCTTCTATTGAACTGGGGCGAGGCTCTTAGCTAGAGGCATCAACTCGTACGGTGGTGGGCATGGTGTTAGGGGTAACGACTATCGTACAGTAACAATAAAGTAGCATCGAAGATCCTGATCAGATAGATTCCATTGCTTGATTGATTGATTGTCCTGTTGTTCTCTTGTTGAGGACTGATGAATACTGATCCACTTGAGGGATCTCTGAGAAAAGAACTCTCGGACCTAGTGTCCGAGATCCAGCCAATCAGGAGGCAGAAGTGTCTGCCTGTACATTGTACAGGCAAATTCCACTAATCACGTGCCAGCCTGTAGATTCTCCCATTACACTATACCGCTCTATATGTATATAGCGGTATAACTGTTGTTATGCCCTCGGTAAAACTGCTAATTTTTTGGATATTTGCTCGCCACTGTATATACCTAGTACTTTTTGGGAGAAATTGAACCAATGCTTTTCTTGTCATTGAGCTCGTACAAGCTATATGTTACGCCAATTCTGAAGCGAGTAAGGGAGAGTGGTACATTCGCCTCTTGCGAAAGACGAAATCAAGAAAAAGAAATATGCACAATATCCAACCGCGCTATGCAAATGTCCCGGTCTCAAGTATCTATTAAGCCATCCGCGTCTCAACCTCCGACCTCTCAAGCCGCCCATTTGCTGCTGTAGGTGGCAGAAACGCTGTTGGTGCTATAGGTGCCGGTATAGCTTCCAGTGTAGCTGGTCGTCTTATAGGCGCTTGTGCTGGACGCCGCGGGTGGGCTAGGCGGGTTGCCAACGGGCTCGATCAAGACGAACAGACCCGAGAGGCAGACTGGTCCCACAGTGTCGCGCATAACAAGTGTGGTGTCGATAGATTGGATGATTCCGGGGAGGACGGTGCCAGGAGGTGGGCAGGGAAAGCTGGGGACGAGGGTGAGCAGTTTGCCTGGGATCACTTTCTGGACCCCGACATTTTGGATGTTTCCGAGGGTGTTGAACGTCACTATTGTTCACAACTTGTCAGAATTTTGTCATCGGAGGTCGTCAAGAGTCAACATGGGCGATATGCGTGATGACTCGCAAGGAGGAAGGAGTATACGTACAGCCAGAGCTCGGAAGTTCGTTCTGCAGTTGAGAGAAGTTCAAGCTACATTTTGGTTTAACCGTCAGTCATGTCCCATAGAATAGGTAGGCTAGATAGAGCTGATAATGTGGGAGAAAGGAGAAGGCAAGAGGTTGAATATTCACGTACTTTCCGCCACCACTGAAGATGGTCTGGGAGAGATCACCATAGATCTGATCGGGGCTGGGAACTGCCAAGTTCAAGGAGCAGTTGGCACCGGCGGCGAAGTCGGGGATTGTGAATTGAGAAGCAGTGGCCAGATCGTAGGCGGTCTCGACGTAGAGATCTTGTGACCTCAGGAAGGCTTGGTCTGCCTTGACTTGTGAGACCGTCTGAATGTCTTCGGCAAAGAGAACGAATTGGTCATCAGCAGGGATGAATGGGCAGTTTTTCGAGGCATAAGGCGGGTAGCTTCCCCCGGAGCCCCAGCTCCCCTTTGCAGCAGCGACGCTGGAGAAAACCGCGGTGGCAACGACTGAGGTCCTCATGGTGCTCAATGAAGAAAATAACCGAATGCGAGGAAATCTTGTACAAAGTCTTGAAAACAAAATTAGACCTAATGAAAGTCGTAAGGAAACTGGTAAGTCAAGTGAGTGGGTTGAGAGGCGGTTGATGGCATTGTCCAAGGGTTGCGAACAATTCAAAGACTTTATAGACACTGGTTTCTAGACTGGCAGCGCTGTCAGATCTTTCTTTGGATATCGAGAGTACCGACACGGACCGTAGCTATGGGTGATGCTCCAGGTTCCAGGCCTTGCAGTCTGTCTCCAGAAAAGGATGGCTTTTCCTCATTGGCTTTGACGCGGCTCTGGGCATGCATGGGCGCAGAGGAGTCTGGGCCAGACTGACCCCTCTCCTCTATGTTGGGAACCGGATATAGTTCGAGCACCACCTCCTGCGGGTGTCCACTGTTCATTCCCTTTTTTGGTAGTGGTCCCTCCCAGGAAGGGCGCCTGATGTCGGGATAAACAACAACGACATGTCCGACATGCGTTGAGTAGCCCCAAAGATCTTGGCTGGCTCCTCCGACCAAACCGTTGTTGTCTTTTGTACGCGCCATCAAAGATAGCAACGTCTTGGGAAGTATCGACGACAAGCTCTAGCACTGTGATGCTCGCCTCTCGAGGCTAGTCAAGCGACTCCAGGAATTGAAGGATCGCATCCAACAGAGGCGAGAGGATCTCCAGCACACCACCGTGTATATTTGATCCCTCACTAGCCAAAGTCGGATCTGATGTAAGGAGGATCCCGGATTAGGCGAAGAAATACGGGGAAGGGAAGCGGAGGTGGCACATTGGTGGATATTAATACCAGCAAATTCCAGGCTGGTGTGTGTTAGATCGGATTAGGGAAACACAACGTGCAGCATTAAGGGAACGAAGGGAAGGACATGATGAGAAGGATGAAAAGGAGCTGCTTATTGACTCAAGGCCTGACGAGCAGCAGAACGCAGTCATCTCACAAATTCTCATCTCTCGCCGCTTTAGCAGCCTTGCCTCCCTCCCTTTCTGACGCAGCCTCGTCCACGTCCTTCGCGGCCGCATCTGACATCGACTCCCCTTGGATCTAAAACACAACTGCAGGTAAGCTCTGTCAGCTTCCACGCTTTTTGATTTCTTCTTGGCTCTCTGTTCTCAACTTGGGGGGGACACCACCACCCTCCTCGTTTGACAGGGTATGACCTTGCCGGAGAGAAGGGCATTGTCGGGAAACAAGAAGGCAGAAATGCTCTCTCCATTGACCCTCGGTGCATAGTGAGTGGTAATTACCGGCCTGCTAAATCAAGTCCATTTTTCGTCCCCTACTCCATGTCCCTCTGACAAATGTCTGGACTCAAGACACATTTCACAGCTTCAAGACTCCCCTCGCCATAAGGATCTGCACCGCCGGCATCGAATCACTCATGATCTCTGTCCTTTTCAACACGATCCCGTCATGCGGCGCTCCCTGCTGCTTGGCATAGACGAAATGAAAGCCACCCGGAATCTTGACATCCCATTCCCTTCCCTGCAGGTCCTTGACCTTTTTTTCCTGCGCCGTTGGTGACCCTTGACAGTTGGCGAACAAGTATGCTTGGCCTATCATCTCCCAACCCTCGTCCGTGTCGAAGCAGACCAGGAAATAGGGCTCATGGAATTCCTGGGAGAACGGTGCGTACATGCCCTTGGCTTCGCTAAAAGCCTGTGCGTTACCGGTGTGTACTGAGCCGTCGGGTTTGACGAGAGTGGCATCTGCAGAAGTCTGTGGATCTTCAGGTCAGCGACTGAGAAGCGAAAGAGCCGCACCAAGATTGTACGAGACAATCATAAAGCATGAGAACCTCACCCAATCGCATTCCTCCTGGCTCCAATTGCCGCGCTTGTTGAAGTTGATAGTGTAGTCCTCCATCCACTTCATTGCAGGATGCTTGCGAGTTTCATCGTCCCAGGTTCCAACATGGACAAAAGCATCTCTGGTTGGGTAAGACATGGTGATCGCAAAGGCGATGAGAATCTTCTTTGGCAGCCAAATGGGTAAGGAAGAAAGTATGCTATGGGCTTTCAGTAGCTGGATTTTGCTACCCAGGAGGAGAGCATGAACGAGCAACAAGAGTGACACGAGTCGGGCTTATGTAGTCGACACCATCCAACACGAGGTCAAATGCAAGTCTATTCAGCTCGACCGGTCTGTCAAGAGCTGGACTCAGCCGCTCCACCAACAGTCCGGGCATTTGGAGCATGTGAGCACCGGACAGGGCGTCGTTCGAAGCCCATTCGACTGCTGGATGACAGGAACGGGATTGGCAGACATGTGGCCAGCAGAGCAGCAGACCACCCCGCGTTGCTGGAAGCTGCTGAAGGTCGAAGCGAAAGTGTTCGTAAGCGAGGCTCTCCAAGAGGACGACAGACACCGCCACACCCCGCAATTGAGCGTCATACTAACCATCTTTCGCAGGTGTTCTGAGAGTCTAAGATCCGGAATATGCGGAGACGTTGGAATTTTCTTCAGCTCGCGGAACCGTTGATGCCACATGCTGTTTCTCTGTTGTGCGGCTGGGGGCGGAGGAGAGTGACAAACATAGGTCCGGAAGAGCTCGTATCCGGGTGAGGATGGAGAGTAGAAATACAGAAGAGTAGAAATACAGAGGAGTAGAAATACAGATCAAGCCTCAATCAATCATTCCACATGAATGGACTGGTGTAGGATCAAGACTCACAAGAAAGAGTGCAAGTGTATATACTTTCCATCCAGGAGATACGTACCTATACAATTCGGTTCATTTTCCGCTCATCCTACGCTACGACACTGTGGTTCGCAGGGAGTTTCTAGTTCATGTCAGTGCCTTGATCAATCCACGATCGATAGAAGGTTCCTGATCTTGCCTGCCATCCATCATGCTCCAGTTTTGGGCACTACCAACTTGTCGCTTGGGTCCTATACCAGGCGATAGCAATACCAACTGAGAGCAGCAACCACAAAAAAAGGATAGAAAAATGGCCGATCAATCGTCATTATTAGTTGGATGCTCTGTATGTGAATCTCTCATGCTCTGGCCCAGATAAAGGCGGCTGCTCGAAGGAAAAACCCGCCCTAGGCCGCTCATTATTCTTCTGCTATTACAAAAATCTAAATGCTGTTCCGCTGTAGCCCGGACAAAGCAGAACTAAAACTTGTATTGTACAAATGTCGAGAACCGGAGACTTGCGGTTGACAAGAAGCAAGACCGTTTCACCGTTTCCGTGTAAGGATTTTCGTAATTGCGTGCCGAATCGTGATGCCTGCCTTCTCGATCTCTTTCTTGGTTAAGCCGATGGTTATGCAAACCCTGAGAGCAGGTGACGGCGTAAAAATATCGGTCTTGGTGCCTGAGGGTCCGGCGGGGAGTGACTTGGCACGGGTGATGAGAACGTTCTGCGCGAGGCACTATGTCGAATAAGTTAGTTGTGAGACCAGGATCGACAGGAGAGAGAAAGGACTTCTGTCTGGCTCACCTCGTCCACAATGTCCTGCAGCAATTGTTGTTGGTCCTCGAACGTCAACCTCCGTGATGAAACCACCTCAGGCTTCAGCACCAGCAACATGATTGGATTCTCTGGGGCACTTGTACAGTACATCCAATCACTTCGCGGGTCAAGCTGCTGCCACATGGCCTTGATATTCTCTTTCAATTGGGAAAACAAGTCCGGCTGGGTCTGCAACATCATCAAGGTCTCGCTTGCCGTGACAGCGGACATGGCTGGCAGCGCTGCAGAGAAGGTATACGAGGCCGCAGATAATCGCTGGTGCTCGACAACTTCATCCGATCCAGCGCAGAAACCTCCTGCGGCTGACAAAGGACCTGCCATTGAGCCGATAATCATGTCCACCTCTGCTGCGTCAACGTGCTGGTGTTCTGTCACGCCTCGACCGGTTCGACCCAAGACGCCAAACGACCATGTCTCGTCAAGGATCAGTCGGAACTTGTACTTGAGCTTCAACTCAATCTGCACAACCTCAGTCAGGACGCTCAATCTCCCTGCGATCGATCAGGGGGAAACTCACAATTTTGGGTAAATCAACCATATCACCAACATTCTCGAACAGTCCCTCAGTAATGATAAACCGTCTTGTCAGCGGCTTTTTGGCTTGTTCCTTCGTAACCTTGGCCAGCACCCTCTGTAGATCCTCCATATCGTTGTGTTCATACCATCTGACTGCACTTCTGGAAATCTGTATACCCTTTCGAATGGCATAATTCACGGCTTTGTCGGCAACAATTATGTCCCCTCTCTTGGAAAAGGCCGGAATGACACTGGAAATTGTGGAAAACGCTTGAGCATAGATGATGCATGCCGTAGTACCGAGGAAGGCCGCAATGTCCGCCTCGATCTTCATGTGGACGTCCTGGGTACCGTAGAAACCGGGCGGGCCGCAGGGCCCGACTCCATAAGTACGCAGTGTCTGAATAGCCCGCTCTTTGAGGTTTTCGTTCGAGATAAAATTGTAGAAGTTGTAAGAGGCTAGGTTGATCACTGTTCGGCCGTTGTTCAGTTTGGTTCGGGGGCCACTGGGTCTGTCGCGTCATATTCAGTACATTTTGTATGTAGCAGTAATCTTCAAAGCTGGACTTACCCGACGATGACAGGGTGCCTTTCCAATTCTGCATCCTCGAAGGGTGTGGTCTTCCCGACCAGAGGCTCTGGCGTCCACTCATCAACCAAATCGTCGATTTCCTGGTTTCGCAGTCAGCCCTTCAACGCTCGCTGTCCCCATTGCCCAAACAATGTGCCCACCTCATCAGACAACTTCACATAATTCTGCTTGGTCGAATACTTTGGAGCTAGCAAATATCGAATTGCGAACAGCACCAGGAAGAGCTCGACGGCAGATCGGATTGGGTCGTTCTGGTAACTGGACTTCACGTAGCGAAGGAAGATGGCGGACCCAGGAATTTTCTGGAATTGTTCGGCGGCATTGTTGGCCAGGTTGGTGACATATTCTTGAGCGTCATGAGAGTCCATCTTGTGAGGCCAGAAAGGAGGTGTCAACAACCTCCCCAAAAACGGGGTTAGAAACAGGAATGAGGCGATCACGGCGGGTTCTCGAGTCGGGAGCCTGGGAGGATTTAACTATGCCACGGTCACTCGGGATCCTGCGAAAGCGAAAAGGGCTCAATGCGGCAAGTCACGTGGCAGAGCCAGGAACCTGCTCGCCTGGATTCAGGGGCAGATCAAATTTCCGGTCCTCGCTGCTGACCAACAAATCTACAACTACAAGAAATCAAGTCCTCGTGCCTCGTACCGCGAGTACCGGCTCGCCTGAAACCCAAAGAGTCTGTCCCAAGTCCATTTCAATTGTATGCAGTTCTCATTTGACTGTCATGTACAGTACAATATCTCTTAAGGAAATAAAAACTCAACCAGACGCCCCCCTTCACCACCAATATTTGCTAGGTTCGAAAGACCAGCTGAAGAAAGCTCCCCCCTTTGCAAAGGCTGCTTGTCTATGCCATTTCAATCATTAAGTGGTTCGGATCAATGGCCGACAAGAGAATCTCAAACTCATTAGAGGGCCGTGTTGTCTAATTTGTTCTCCTCCTTCCTCTCCGCACGCACCAATTTATACACGCCAATCGTTTGCGCAAAACTTTGGCCATGACTGTTTTTACCAGCGGATAAATCGTCCGCCACCGCCTCCGAAGCTGAAGGGGTCATTGGAGTTGGCCGAGGTGGTGGCAGCCGCTGTTGCAGCCGCAGTTCCAGCATCCTGACCAAAGTTGACGAGAGCCGAACCGGTAACGCCAGTCGTTGTGTCGTTGTTGTTCTGTCCGGTAGGTTGAACGAGGTCGAGAGGAATGGTCGGTAGTCCAGTGATGTATTTCCGGACAATGATAGGCCCAATGATGAGCACAAGGAAAATAATGAGCATAATGAAATACAAAATGGCGTAGCGAATGACACGTCTCTTCCTGAGACGGGATTGTTTGATCGAGTAGATGGGGGGTCTGATCTGACGGCTGTAGAAAGGATTAGTATTGCGTTGAGAAAAGGGGAAAGGAAGTGACATACCTGGGTCGAAGCCAGAAGAGCATGACCGAGTGGAATTTGTCGATGTAGGGAACACAGAGAGCCGGCAACATGATGAACATGATGATGTGCCCAAGGATAAAGTCTGCGGCGAAAAATCCAAGCTCGGTGATCTTGCAAAGGTATTCTCGTGCAGGCTGGGACATCGAGTGCCAACCCATCGAGTACCATTTACCAGTCCACCAGGCAATGTTGGAGGTGTCGTGCTTGAATTCTCTCGTCAAGCAGAGCGCGATGATCAACTTGAAGACGAATCGTTGGAGAGCCACCACAGCGATCATGCCCAAGAGTGCCTTGGCGAAAACCCATCCCTCTAGGAAGAACATGACCTCCCAGAACGCAAAGAGCATAATGACGGCGACACCATGCGCGATGGCCGCAAGGACCGAACCAAATTTCTTGCAGCACATGCTCAAGACAGGACCCATGCAGCAAGCCATGCCAAAGAGACCAGCCAGCACACCGGCGTTGATGGCAATGGGAGCAAAGGCTACAATCGCTACTCTTACTAAAGAGTTTGTGGGTGGCTTGACATCAGTTGTTACGCCGGTCTGAGCGTTGATGAAGAGGTAAGGGATCAGCGTAAAGCAGACAAGCACCAGGGGACCGACAACCTCGCTGAAGAAGACACTGGTGAAGCTAGCCCGAGGGACGTCCCCAGAGAGCTTCTCGGACGGAACACCCAGAGCCTTGCGCTTGTAACCGGTGAGACGAGTACGCGACAGTCGACAGAAAGCGATCCAAGATGAGGCATGCGACCGCGAGTTGCCCCGAGACAGCCACCTCAGGTAGTCTCTGTAGTCGATGAAGAAGTCGTTCCAGGCGAACTGATGAGGGTTGAAGATGAAGGGGGAAATGCAAAGCCCCAGTAGCGAAACCCAGAACCACAAGAGCCAGGCACCCCAGACAGTGATTGTACCGAAC